TGTGCGGGTGGACAATACAAAACTTGTTATCTATCTATCCTCTTAAAGCGATTTGAGGTAGTTCAGAATGCGCCTTCGCCTCTCGGTTTGCCATCGAGAAGTTTGACTCATGGATCCGATCTGCCTCCTTCCACTGAATGACGGCGAGAAGGAACCAGTACGAACGTGAAATAAATGTTACTAAAATAAATGAGTAAAAGAAATCTTATCACGGATATAACTTTGATTATTATTGATTCTGCTTTCTTCTCTCTTTGAATTCAAACTTAAACTCAAATCTCTTTATTTCATAAAATCTTTACAATTATTTGAAATCGTCTCTTGTGTAGACTCTAAAGTAATAGATCAACACACACAATAGCAATCTACTCTGTTTTTTGAAATATTTAGCAAAATAAATATATACGTATCGAAAATCTCTCATATGCCTGTACCGATCTACAACCGTACATTTCTAAGGGGTTGAGCCTCATGAGAAGGGCAAACAAACTCACGTTCACTATCTTTAATCAACAGATAACAATGGCATCATTAAATATACACAACATTGTTTTGATGTTGCCAGTATGTAAGTTTTAAGGACTAAAAAGTAAAAACGTAATGAAGAGAAAACAAGATAATCCTAATTCACTCTCTGCCCTTGTCAATTTGAAAACAAAAATATTCGCAGAAACCATCTCAAAGGCTTTACAAAAACGCCGACGCCAAATAAAATTAGGATAAGGACAAAAAAATGATAAATGAAGATTGTCGCTCAAAATCACAGAAAATTTTATACGCGAAATCACCAGTACTACACGAGGGAGGCATGTGGTATGCTTGACATATTATTGTTTGATAAAATCGTCATAATTTGATTAGATTTTACAACTAGATATTTGCAATACCAATAAAGATACGAACTTACTTATCTTTTCTACAGGGGTTTATGGATTAGCCTACATAACGGACATGCTCTTATTTTATAGTTGTTTTAAGCCGAGCTGGTTTAGTATAGGAAGGTTTCTATATTTTATTATGCTTATAATGATCGTACTTTTCCTTTAGTTTTTATTGATAAAGTTTACCAACTGACATGTTTCAAGTTAGACAGATGGCAATTTTACTTGTTTTGTTTTGTGTCCTCACCCTGTCCAATGATGTATTTATATATCATTATATATCATTCACATTTTTGTATACAACACTACGCTCTGATAATGATGACTGACACTGCGCCATCTAATCCCAAACTAAGCTGACCTTCTACTATGGTCACTAGACAACGGATAAACATACTTATATACTTTTGATTTATAGATATATACTTTATTATAATAAGACAGGAACCACCTCAATATACAGGTCGTGTCAAGGAGAACTGCCTTCTGCATCAGAATCTTGATCCAGCCGTCTAACGTGAGCCTCTTAAGATGTTGGTCGAAGCTCTTGGCTATTAATTCGTGAGCAGATATGACTATCAGAACGATGATCGCCGAATCCACATTCCACATATCAACAATCTCGTGAGATAAATTAAAATATTTTACTTATTTTTCTTTTTCAACTTTCACAAGATTCTCGTCATGAGGAACGGCGATATTAACAATCATAGCGCTACAATAGACATATCTGTGATAATAGATCGATCCCAATGCAACGTGGCCCGACCATTCTCGAGAACTAGGTCGGGCACATACCTACTTTAGATTCACAAGTTGGTATTTAAGGGCAAGCTGTTGGTGTACGATCAAGGCCACTTGGTTGTGCCTGTGCATTCACCGTTAGGGAGACGAGGACAACCAGAAATAATATGCCTTATTGATTCCCCAGGACGGTGTCATGCCCGACAGATGTCAAACGTATCCGTACTAATGACCAACCGTACCATCTTTCAGAATATATTTCCAATTGTTATTCATCATGATAACTTCGTCCATAATAGCACAAAAAAAACCTTCAATTTCTCCCAAAATATCGCCATACCGTAGCCAAGTCGTACATGCTTTTAAGTCTGTATTGGACCCGTTTAGGCGCCCAATAAAACCTTCCAGATAGAGCGCTAAGACGGTTCAAAGCCAGACAAAACAGTCAGGCTTTCAACTTGAAATATACTCTGCTCCATCTTTATTAGTACATCGTTTACCGCAGTCTGCCGATATCCTAGATGGCGAAGTGCTGTTCACATTGCACCATACATGACTTCAAGAAAGTGCACAGAGTCGTATCAATTTTATACAACTCTAGCACCTTCAAAAACCATATATGGGGAACCGAATCATAAGCCTTCTTATAGTCTATCCAACATGTCGCAGAAATCTTACGATTACCACGTACCTGTTGGTTAATGGTCTTATTATTATTACAAGTAATCGCATGTGCCCATTTATTTTATTTATTTATTCATTAGGTTAACTCACAGTACATATATGTAACATTAATGGTAAAATCTAAGTAATAATCTATACTAATATTATAAAGCTGAAGAGTTTGTTTGTTTGTTTGTTTGTTTGTTTGTTTGAACGCGATAATCTCAGGAACTACTGGTCCGATTTGAAAAATTCTTTCAGTGTTAGATAGACCATTTATCGAGGAAGGCTATAGGCTATATATCATCACGCTAAGACCAATAGGAGCGGAGCACCAATGAAGATTGTTTCAAAAACGGAGAAAATTTATTACTATTGAGAGACGCAGACGAAGTTGCGCCGGTCAGCTAGTATTCTGATATACGAGTACATGCCACTTACGAGCTAACATAGCATTCAACGTTTAGACAACATATTAACAAAATCACATTGATATATAGGTATTACAAACTTAACACAATTGGTCTGGCGAGTTTAGTGGTTGCAGTAACGATCAGTACATACTTATCAGTTTTTATTTCGAGGTTTGCCAAATGATTTCCATATTTTTGCTCCAAACTGGTTGCTAAAGGAAGTCCTAAAGTGCTGTTGACGACATAAGTCTTGTCCGCTGCGCGTGGGCTTTTTAATAAGCTTCTGCCTACTTCTTCGAGGATATAGGCTTGAGAATATGTAATTGATTCTCAAAGACTTGTATAAGATACTGTAATAATAAATATCAGTAATAATATAGATCAATTATAGGCAAGTAAAGATAGATATTTGTGCTACAAGTAATTTGGTGATAATAATATAGTTATAGCAACATGATAGATTTGTTTAGATGTCTTTGTTGTACACAGGCACTGTTAAGAAGCACGGCTTAGGTTATTGTAAGATTCTATCCTTTATTATTGTTTTGTATCTTTTTTTATTGTTTTATTGTATATGCGCGTGTTGCCAGCGTTTCGGCATAGGCGTGCCATGCTATTTCTGCTGCATCTGTTTACCTACCGTCTGGCTTCTTAAATCATTCTACCGTAGAAAAGCCATTATTTGACGTGTGGCGCAGCTTGATTAGAGTGATACCATGACTTCACAAAAATCAGATATTTCAAGCAATTCTTGAGTGGAGACCACGTCAAGGCAAACGTAGTGTAGGACGCCCACAGGCCAGGTGGAGTGACGATCTGCGCAAGATGGCTGGCAGGAGCTGGATGCGAGAAGCCAAAAAACGATCTAAGTAGCGTGCAATAGGAGAGGCCTTTGGCCAGCAACGGACTGCGATATGCTGATAATGATGATGAAGCAATTCTTTCGTACGTTTGACCGAGTGAGTGAAGTAATCGGAGGATCAAACAACACCTAAATTTTGGTGTAGAAACTCAAAAAGCCGGCAACGCTCTTGTGGCTCTAGTCACCATGGGTAGCTGTAGTACGCCATAAAACATTGTTTAGTTTTTAGTTGTATCCAGTGACTAAAAGCCTGTTCTACGAAGTATTCTCCATATCAATGTTCTCAACTCTTATGTCATCATCATCAACAGCCTTTACATACATCCAATAGACCTGGACCAATAGACATAGGATTCTCCTTAGAAAGAAGGTTTCGGTCTACTATAGCACGCTGGCAGGACGAGTTGGTATTGGGTTTATTTCAATATTTCTCTTTGCATTGCTGTTGTCCTGCGTGGTTTGCACCCTTAGTCGGCTGTTACGACACCCACAGGATGAATAGGGGCGGTGATACTTCGTATTCTTATGTAAGATATATCAATGCTGAGCTCTTAATTCAGTATTTTGTGTCCCAATTCAGCTGGCAGTGACTTCAACACTCTATCTGTATTACGTATAAAAAAAAGACGCGTGGCACTCGGGGACTGCCGAGGTAAAGCTATTGCATAGCATTTTTTATCAACTTATGCAATTATAATTATTTATTTATGCATTATTTTTTTTCCTTTGTTTTTTTTCTTTGATATTAATTAGATTGTGGGGCCAAGAGGGGGATTACGCATGCGCAGTAACGCCGATACAACCAATGCCACCTAGAGGCGAGTTGCTGAACTAAAGAGACAAGCGTGATATTTAAAAAAAGTCATTTAAAGTTCTGCTATTCATCGATAGATGGCAAAACAATAGCTTAAAAATCTATAACTACCACCCCATGTCTAAATACAATTTTTCAGGTTGGTTTTTGTTTGTAAATTAGATATTATTTGAGGTTAAATTATCAAGGAATTAGACCGTTATTAGTAATGGGACATAATTCAGTAAATTATTTGCAGAAGTGGTAGCTGTTTTAAAAGCACTAGAAATTGCAGAACTAGGTGCGTTGAGTTCAGATATCTCATTTTCAGATGACTAAAATAGTTAATAATTAAAGAGGGAAAACAATAAATGCTCCTTGATAGATCTTTTTACTTACTTATAAATAATATATCACAAACATACCATTTAAAATATTCAGATTTCTTTTTGTCGTAGAATTCTCCCGCATTGACATCATTTATTTTAATGTTATTTCTCCTTATATGCCTATGGCAAGCAGTAGACTATTGTAGGCTGTTGCTGATGATTGACGATGTAATACAAGGTTTTCATTATGAATAAATAAATACAGAATTAACTACAGATCAAATGGACTAAATTTTCCTTGATTTTCTAAATGTGCTAACTTTTTTCGTTGTCTACATTTTTTAGTCTGTATATCTCTTCTTCATCTTTAATTATCATTTTTCCTCTGTACTCGTCTTCAATTTCTTGCAAAGTCTTGTCTTTAGTTTCTGGCAATAAAAACCAAATTACAATCAGGCAGTATACCATAAGGATAGCGTATAACAAGTAAGTACCAGAAATACCAATACTCGCTACCAGCACTGGGAATGTTTTCAGCAACCAGAATATATTAGCGGAGGTGGAAATGAAACTGATTGTCCCGCCAATACTTCTGTACCGCAAAGGGAATACTTCTCCAGCGATTATAAATGTCATGGACATTGGGCCTATGGCCATTGTGAAAAATTGTATAAACATGAGAACCGCTGGTATCCAGAGGATGTCATGCGTTAAAAGACCTAAGGTTTTAGCATACACGTAGCAGGCAATACCAAAAATACTAGCTGTACATATGGCTGTAGTAGTCAACACCATGGTTCGCCGTTTGATTTTGTTTACGACAAAGATAGCCAAGATACTGACCAAAATTCTTTCGATATCAAGAAAAACCATCCATGCCTCGGCATTAACATTAGGATTCACGATTAATTCTATAATTGTTGTTGTAAATGTAGCTGTTACCGGTGCCCCACAGATTTGAGTAATGGCATGCATATGCATCATCAGAAGAATTGGCTTATAAAACTCTTGTTTTCTTATATTACCAAGGACATCAAATTTCTTCTCATGCTTTGTAGTTTGATTAAACTCAATCTTGGCTCGTATCATATTTTCTAGTTCCTCTTCTTCTATATCACTTCTTAGCCAGCGAAATGCTTTTCGGCAGTCATCATATCTTCCTCTCAATACTAGGTAGCTTGGAGATTCAGGAATAAAAAACGTCATGATAAAACTGCTTAGTGGGAGAAAGAAAACGATCAGTGCAGTTTTGCTCCAACTGAGAACAGATCCAAGGAGATGAACGTAGAACATCCCTAGACTGAGGGTTACAGATATTATAGACAGAAAGCTTCCTCGATATTTTGGACTCGAGTATTCACCAATGAGGATTGAGCGGAGAGGCAGCATCATCCCAAAAGATATTCCTCCAATAATTCTTCCGACTATTATAACCTGGTAAAGAGTGGTTAGAATTAGAGAGTAGTATTAATGAGTTATTGAGAAATATGTCAGGCAATGTTATAAAACACTTAATAAGATATAACTATAGAGGTCCCTCACGTACATTTGATTTTTCTTGTGGTATACTCTATACTACCAATAATGCAAATTTGACAAAGCGTTATCTGTGGGTGATATTTTTGTCCCTAAAGATCGCAGCGATCGGGGCAATGGAACTACTCCTATGTATTCGAGTTAATTATTTTTCTCAAGGTTCATTTCCATTAAATTTTCCTACGGGAATGGATCAGTTTTTGGTGTATATAAGTTGCTGTTGTAAAGTCGGAATAATTATTTTCTGTTGCTTTCTATCTACTGACAAGTTTAGTATCACATACTGACAAGTTTAGTATCACATTAACCCAACCTTAGGGATCAGAAAGTTAGTGAACACCTTTTTCATAGTGAGCAGGTAAGGGTAACAGCGGTTGTCTTGTATTCGAATCATCATAGTGTACATATTGTAGAAATACTTGAGTACTTAGCTACTTTAACATAACTTTCGACCGATGCCATTGCTCAAACAATAAGAAATAGAGAAAAGATACGCCTTAAGAAATACGAAATTCCAATTCAAGATTCTACAAGTTTGAAAGTCTATTTTATTATGTACGTTTTTGATGATTAAAAATACGTGTCGGTAAATGACCATATAGAAAATAAATAAATAATTACCTCTACATTTCCGGCAAGGCTTGTCATGAACCAGGCAATCACAGACAGTGCGCTGACGATGTAGTGTGCTATCTTTCGCCCAAAACGGTCCATGATACCAGGTGTTAGGAAGTTTCCTATTAGGAGTGTTATCGCGAATACAGATGCTGGAAAGATAATAATAAAAGTTATGATACCTTTCCTACTTTTCTGAATAGATTTTTATGACATAAGGGGCATAGTTTTTTATAAGTATGACAATGATGCTTCCCACTAAAATATTAGTCATTCTTTGGTTCAAATAAGAACTAGTGTTAATTAATAGGCGTAGTTTCCGTTAACGTCGACCCCTGGGAAACCAATTTCAAGCCCAAGGGGTCGATAACTTACTAATCTATGCTCGCATAAACCAGGGAGTTTATACGATCATAGATTTGTAACTACTTGACTAAAAGAGTCGAAGACGGCGGTATCTTGCATATGCAGATTTTGTAAACCAAGAAGCTGATGCACTTCAGCTGATGAATGATGAGGAACACTATAGCTTGGCACAAACAGATATCATTGTAATTTTATCTATCTAATCATCTAATTACACTGTTAACGTCTGACACTAAATGGGTCAGGGACCTGCTTATCAACATGGGTATACGACGAAAATCGCCTGTGTAGACAGGAATTTCATTATTTCATAATCATAATTTATTTATTTGCTGATCAAAGGTGTACAACGGTGTTACATTTTTATTAATACATGTCCTCTACCTTAACGGCATGCACAAATTGATTACAATAATTGTCAATTGATTTAGAATAAAAAATTAAATTTATCAATAAACATATTAAATAAAAATGACAATATAAAATATCAATATAAAAATCTTATTTGCCTGAGAGAAAGTCACTTATTGCATGGTAGCATTTCTTTACTAAAAAGTCATGAAGGCGCTTTTTAAATAGATTAAAATTTAACTTTTTAAATTCATTAGGTATCCTGTTATATATGACTGTTATGACGCTTTTATGCAATAAAGCTGCATTTGCTTTATGTATGCGTGGCTTGTTTGCTGTACAATAAGTTATACATGTTGTACAAGCTATATTATGTATTTTTAGTCTCATTATGGCAGACTGTCATATAATCTATGTAACGTCTCGGCTATGTGTATTTTAGTTTGTATAGCTATAAACACATGTTCAATTTAGAGTGTATGCTGCTCTATCTTGTCAAGACTTTGTTATATGTCAATATTGTAGTAACTATCTGTTAAGAGATAAAGAGGAATTGTTTTAATCTTGGGCATACATAAGTAAAGAAAAATAATATATGTGTACACAAGTATGGAACGGAACAAAAATTGTTGAACGCTAGGTCTCATAACTACAGTACTAGTTTTAGTGTTATGGTGTGGGTAGCGAAACATTCTTAATATGTCCGATCTACTTTGAGTGAAAAGCTGTTGTACATGTCAACAGATGTTTTCTGGGTTTGAAGAAGTAAAATTGATAAATATTATGCAGATAGGTATACGCTTACCTATCCAGGAGTCGGTTGTTTTGCTGGAAACTATGGTTGAGTCTGGGTGATGCAGCTGAGGTAACAAGATCGCAGGAAACCCTGTTACACAACCATGTGCGATCAAGTTCATTCCAACTGCCAGCGTCACGAAACACTGCAATTGTATCAAATAAATAACTTTAAAAAAGTATCACCGTTTTCAATAGTTTCAATTCATTTCTTAATTTCCATTGTGGCTGTTATTTTTCCTTTAAATTCCAAAAGTTAGAACTGATGGGAACGCGTCTTTGTTTCGAAGTTTGTAAAAAAGAGCAGTGAAATCTCGTCACGACAAATTAGAGAACTGTATTTAAGTTCTTTATATAGTTTACTATTTTTTTTTTTTATTAAACCCTTAAAGTGCAGGGTGTAATTTAGCAAATTTAGCTCCATACTGTTAGTTAATATACCCTGCATTTGAAATGCACGTATGCACTCGATATCATCAAACATTGATGTTCAAATGATCTTACTCCAAAGAACACGTGAGACATCAAATTGTTTTGATCTGATAGCTGATAAAGAAGTACGCAGTGGTACTAATTTTAACCAGACCAGGTCATTAACCTCATTACCTCAGCCTACTGGAGTTTAGTATTGGAACTAGTTTTTTAGCCAGTTGCGGCGCAGCCCGGCCGCAATTTATTTCGTAATTTATAAACATCAATTGAATATTCTTTTATTGTTCTTGATTACCAAAGTATACTTTATATACCACAAATATATCTTGTTAAAAAACAGCCCGGCCACGTGTATATTTTCTGGTAGGACGCTCAGATTGTTCCAAAATATTAACCAAAAAAATGTTCCTTTTTGTGTTCTCTAATGAATACCAAGAGAAACGCTTACATAAACGGCAAATGATTTAAAATTAGAATTTGCACTAATCGCCTAAACTATTAAAATAGCAATGTATGAATGTAAACAATAACCAGGAAGATTCTTTTTATACCATTATTACGAACCTGTAAATATAAACTATTGGCATTTACAGACAATACTAATTAAAATAAATTGTAACCTATTAGAAGTATTTTTTTACAAAACTTAATTTTCAAAAAATATTTCATTCTAAAAATCAGTGCTAATAATAATACATAAGCAGCCTAATAAATAAATGGGCAGAATATTTATCTAATGGGCAGTTACATAAATAGTTCGGTCAGTTCGGTCAGTTCACAGGAAGCGGAGACACTCGAACCCGAACCGATTGCCAAGAGACGTTAATTTTCGTTAGAGCGACGCGCAGCAAATTGAATAATCATTAAGGCAAAATATTGCTACTTACATAGCAATATTTTTTAAGGTTTAAGGCGACCCCCTCAGAAATGAGCTGTAACCAGAATAGTAGGTTAGGTTAGAATTGCGACCCCGTCTGAAACAACTTGCTACGAGAAAAGTAGATCATCAGTTTCATCAAAAGTCATTTAGTTTTTCATAACTTATTTTTACTTAAAAAATCAGGTAAATCATAAAACCATACCTAAATATTAATTCTACCTAATACCGATTTGTTAACTGCCCACTCGTAATTACCCATTTAGTTATTACTGCTGAATATTTACTCAATGATTCATTTCTTAATTTTTTGACGAATTTTTGTTTACTTTACTAAGTTTGAACTGTTCAAAAATCGTTCTAAGTCTGGGTGTTCTTTGTGTCCGTTTCATGTGTGTTTGTAAAGTCCTCCGCGACACAGGATATATTCCTAATGCGGGAGTTGTCTTTTAAAAAAAGAAATACAAATGCTGCTTTAAATTAGTGTCGTTTAGTAGGTATTATGCAACGGTTCTCTATGAGAGGGAAGGAAGGTGATATGCAATGACTAATTACTACCACCTTTACATGACTATCCTTTTTTTAATCTTTCTTTTAATAAGGGGTTTTTATCCACAAGGATACGCCAATATTATAATACTATAATAATAATATAAATTATTATTATCCTTTGCTTCGAGAGCAAACAGATTTTTCGCAACAGAATTGGATCTCAAACTGATATGCTTTGTAATAAAAACGATTTTAATAAGAGTTTTCTTCCAAATATATGTTAAATTACTTACTTGTTTCAAGAATGGTGAAACTCCTGGTTTATTGCCAGCCATTTTTATATGTACACTATCTACTTAAGTATACCATATCAGTGCTGTATTAAGTAAAGTATACTTCGAGTAACTAACTACGTAAAATAAGTGTTATGAATTCATTTTGTGTGGCTATTGTGTCAAAGCCTGCGAGTTAACAAACGATTAGGTACAATGTGACTCGTAAGGATCACAGTAAATCTTAAAACATTGTTGTCTACAACTATCTTATCATAAGATAAATACCATTGTGTAGATTATTTTCAGGGTTCCGTATTTAATCTAGAGCTTATAGAACTCATTAAATCACAGACTGCGAGGGTTATCCACACGCGGCGGCAACCTTTTTTTTTTAACGCAGGGAATGCTTTTCGCAGCGTACCCTTCGTTGGGGAAACGGAGGATGTGTGTGAGACTCCCGGAGAATCGGTCTACCCACTAAACCCCGCAGCGGCATACCTCGGCAGTCGGGAGGAACACCAGGAACGCATCGGCGGCTTCTAGAGGCCTCCCTGCCGTACACCACGATTGAGGCACATCCCAGGGTGACCATGGTCATCCTAGGGCGGAACGGCGCAAGAGCACCCGGGCCCTTAACGACACCCCCCGGCTGCACCAGAGTGTCACCTGTCTCGGGTCGTTTTCAGCAGCCACATCACCCCAAGATGTGGCCGCAGCGACCTTTAGGCAGCGACTGGTTAGCTAGCGACCTCTGCGGCGTCCCCAAAAAACGGCGTTCCAACAAAGAGTGTTATTGAAAACAGCGATGCTAAATTACATAAATAAATCACTGTTAAGTTCATAAAAAAAAATAGTGGCACTCAGGGAGTGCCGACAGAAGTGAAAACTTGAACAATTACGTGTTTATTTTTTAAATCTTCAGGAAATATTTTTTGAATCGTCAAGGCGTCGGTAAAGGTAACAATGACGCGAGTTCGATGGTTTGTTCCCATCTCCAAAATGTGTTTTTTGTTAAACAACAAAATACATTCTTTTGTTTGTAGTTCAAAAATGCCCAACGTGCTTAAAGAAGATTTTACTACAGTAATTTTACGCATCTCACACAAGGCCGTCTGATCCCAAACTGGGCAGCCTCTAGTTACCATGGTAACCAGACTGCTGATAAATATCCATATTAACATTATAAATTCGAAAGTGTGTCTGTCTGTCTGTCTATTACCTCTTCACGCTTAAACCGCTAAACCGATTTATATGAAATTTGGTATGGAGATAGTTGGATTCTTGAGAAAGGACATTGGCTACTTTTTACAAAAATAACCGATATATACGCGGGCGGAGGCGCACTTATATATTTCTAAATTCATAAATTTTATAAATAAATTACACCCACACACAGAATAAACGGTTGTGTTCATTACACATTTATTTGTCCTGGGTGGGAATCGAACATACGACCTCTGGAGGGGTGAGGGTCACTAATCACTACACCAACAGAATCAGTTATAAGAGCAATTTCTACTAAAGTGTAAAAAGGTGGAAGGATATAAAAAAAAACAGAGATATATACATATGTAGTTTTTTATAAAGGCGAAGAACTTTAAATTGGCAACACTGTTTTTTGTATCAGCCGATTGGACAGTTCTACGTTAATTTGAGGTTAGTTTGGTCTGGCAATTTATCATGGATAGACTCACGCCGGAGCAACGCAAGCAAATTGTTAAAATTTATTTTAAAAAACAAGGTTAGCAGTGGTGACAAGATTTGTTCTTAATAAAATCTGTGGTCCAGATCCTGGTATAGTCATTTAGTTCTTAGTTACAACCAAATCTTGTCTTTTTCTCTATACAAAACCTTAGACTGCTGGGGCCGTGTATAAATCAAATAATTTATTTAATTAGTAGTGCCAAGTTGATTAATTATAAATGATTAGTCCACTATCTAATCAAGTCTGTTTAATTGTGTTCACGTTATAGATTAAATATTAATTTGCCGCGAGATATAAAAAAATAAATCAGTTTAGTGTCGATGATGTAATAAATATTTCTGACTGTCTGATGACATTTGCTCATTTATTTAGCAACTTTTCTTTACAAATTCAAGATACTCCATCGTACCGTCTAACAGCGAGAAACACAAGTGAAGAAATAGGCCAAATTGTGGTTTACTGTTGTCGATGCATCAGAACATTATAACTTCTTCTGCCAAGAGTTCTACAGCAGGCAAACTAGGTATTAACCTAGTTTGCTGTAACTCAGTACTAGAAACTTGTAACTGTTACTAAGTATATGACCCAAATCTATTCTTTAAGCTTAGTCGAGATGTAATAGTGTTGGTAGCAATATTATTATTCATAGGAGTAGTCAGAATAAAAAATCTTTCAATATCCAGTATATTTTAACTAAGAAAACAAACATCAAAACCAAGACAAATCTCTCGAATATATTAAAAGTAAAATACTAATTTGGCAGTCTCATATTTGTACCGTAAAAGTATTAGTTTAGTTCGGTAGCATTCGTTTTAAGAGTTTCAGTTTCCTCAACATTCTTATTTCTTACTCTTCCTGTGTACTCGTCTTCAATATCCTGCAAAGTTCTGTCTTTAGTTTCTGGTAACATGATCCAGGCTACAACCAAGCAGTATACCATACCGGCAGCATACAACGAGTAAGTACCAGATATGCCAATACTTCCTACTAGGAATGGAAAAGTTTTAAGCAGTAAAAACATAGTCCCCGAAGTAGAAATCAAACTGATCGTCCCGGCAATGCTTCTAAACTGTAAAGGAAAAACTTCTCCAGCGATTACGCTTGGTAAAGGCACCAGTGCGACTGCTATAGTAAAGAATTGTAGTATCATTAGAGCGCCAGGTATCCAAAGTATATCATGAGTCAAAAGACCTGATGATTTAGCGTACACATATCCTGATAAAGCCGACATACAGAGAGTACAAATACTACCAGTTGTAAATAGCATAGTACGTCGTTTGAATTTCTTCATTATGAAAATAGCCAGAGCGTTAATGATTATTCTCTCAGTATCAAGAACAACCATCCACACATCAGCATTGACATCAGGATTCATGATTAATTTTATTATCGTTGTTGAGAAGGTAGCAATGACTGTCGCGCCACAGAGATGAGTGATGGCATACATATGTAACATTAGAATAATCGGTTTATAAAACTCTCGCTTTCGTATATTACCAAGAATATCAATTTTTTTCTGCCCTTTTGTATTACTGTCAAACTCAATTCTTGCTTCAATCATGGTTTTTAGTTCCTCTTCTTCTTCTTCTTCATCTCCTCGCAACCAGCGAAAGGCTTGCTCACACTTCTCATAGTTTCCTCTAGAGGCCAGATAGCTAGGAGACTCAGGAATAAAGAATGTCATGAGGAGACTCGTCAGAGGGAGAAAGAGAACGATCACCGCAGTTTTTTGCCAACTTATAAGAGATCCAATGAGATGGACGAAAAAAATCCCTAAGCCAACCGTTAAAGATATCGTAGTGAGGAAGGATCCACGGTTCTTGGGGCTCGTATATTCACCAATGAGAACTGATCGTAGTGGCAGCATCATTCCGAAGGAAAGCCCAGAGATAATTCTTGCAATCAGTATTACCTGAAATCATTTGTTTCAGAGTTTATTTATTTGCACACAAACATAAGTTATTATGGGAAGTATTGGTAAATAACCTTCTACTTTCTCTATCGATATTTATTTAAAACGAACGAAATAGATTGAATTTACCATTTTGGTACATGTAGTTTCATCATCATCATCATCATCGACGGCCTTTAGTAGTCCAGTGCTGGACATATACCTCTCCATTGAAATGAGCTTTTGGCCTACTAGACCACGCTGGCTAGACAGGTTGGCATAGGGATTTCTTCAAGATCGGGCCGGACGGTGTTCCAGCCCGCGTGATGGCCCCAGCCCTCGACTACATGTCGGACCACCTCAGGGAAGTGTTGGACGCTAGCCTGGCGTCCGGACGCTTCCCTGGTCGAATCGGTCGCGGCCTATAGGCCTATCGTGTTGCTGGACGAGGCGGGTAAACTGTTTGAGAGGGTACTCTCTGCCCGCATCGTCCGGCACCTTTGCGAGGTTGACCCCGATCTGTCGGACGCTCAATTCGGTTTCCGAGAGGGGCGTTCGACGATCGATGCCGTGATGCGCCTTAGGGCCGTGACCGAGGAGGCCGTGAGCTGCGGCGGAGTGGTGTTGGCGGTGTCCTTGGACATCGCCAACGCCTTCAATAGTCTGCCATTCAGCTGCATCAGGGAAGCGCTCCGCTACCACGGAGTGCCAGAGTACCTGAGGCGGCTAGTGGCAGACTATCTTGAGGAGCGAACCGTCATGTACGAGGACCGAGATCTTTAGACGCAGGGCCATGTCGTGCGGTGTTCCGCGGGGGTGTGTCCTAGGACCGCTCCTGTGGAACATTGGATACGACTGGGCCCTAATAGGGCGTCTCCTCCCCGGGCTAGATGTAATCTGCTACGCGGATGACACCTAAGTCACGGCCCGGGGGGCTAACTTCCAGGAGGCGGCGCGCCTGGCCGCCACGGGAGTTTCCCAGGTGGTCGGGCGCATTGAGGCGTTGGGATTACGGGTGGCCCTGGATAAGACGGAGGCCCTACTATTTCATGGGCCCCGTCGTGGTCCACCCGCCGGCGCCTCAATCGAGGTCAGCTCGGTCCTCGTACCGGTCCGGGCCCAGATGAGGTACCTGGGTCTGGTCCTAGACGGTAGGTGGCTCTTCGACGAGCACTTCCGACAGCTTGGTCCAAGGTTGGTGGACACTGCCTCCGGCCTAGGGCGACTTTTACCCAATTTGGGCGGGGCCAGTGTTTCCACGAGGCGGCTGTACGCGGGGGTTGTCCGGTCCATGGCGCTGTATGGTGCACCGGTGTGGGTGGCGGCTCTGACCGCCCCGAATAGGGCGCGCCCCTGGCGCCCCCAGAGGATATTGGCGGTCAGAGCCATACGCGGATACCGCACGGTGTCCACCGAGGCGGCTTGCGCCTTGGCCGGAACACCCCCGTGGGATTTGGAGGCGGAAGTGCTCGCCGAAGTCCATCGGCGAGTGGCTGACTACCGGGCGGAGAGTGGATTTCGCCCTCCGCTCGAAGACGTGCGCGAGTGGCGCGAAGCCGCTCGCGCACCTCTACGAGGAGGACGACCTCCACTCGGACCCGATCCGCCGCCGGCGAACCGGGCGGCGGAGGCGCGCTTACCTGCGCCTCATGCCGCCCTGAGACGTGTGCCGGACGTCGCCTAAAGAGAGGATAATTTTGAGACGGAGCTTGCACCAGGAGCGGCGGCGAGCCGGCGCTGGGAGGGGTCCAGAAGGCGACAACTACCTGGACCCCCCCCCCCTAAAATAGAAGCGCAAAGAGGGCACACCGTGTGGTTTTAGTCGGTTCGAGTCCGACATACCGCCTCGCCGCACAGAAATCCCCGGCGGGGTGACGGTCCGAGGCGATTTCCACACGTAAAAAATAGTTTTCTTCAAGTTTTCTTTATCTTTACAGTTCTATTGTCAGAACAGGCGTGGTGACAATCTGTATTCTTAATCCGTCACCACATGGTGTAGTTTGACTGCATGACAGTACTTATAAAAATAATAGACACATTTATAAAGCTTTCTGCGGTCTGCTCTTAGCACCTTACTGACAAAATATAGTTTATATTTAGCAAAAATAATTATATACCACATAATGATTTACCTCGATACTAGATGCTAGACTGGTCATGAACCAACCAATAGCTGAAGTAGCGCTAATGAGAAAATGCGCTATCTTTCTCCCAAAACGGTCCATAATGGGAGGGGTTATGAAGCTTCCAATAAACAGCGTTATGGGCAACACCGAAGCTGGAATGAAAAAATGACTGAAATCAATAAATGACTATTAATATATAAGTATTAAGTATAGTTTCACTAAATCAATATATTACAACAGATAAATTACACCTTTTTTTTTTTTTTTTTTTTTTTTTCCGTGCCGAAATCCCCTCGGATACCACCTGTCGGTGGCATGTCGGACTCGAACCGACTAAAACCGCACGCCTTCGCCGGGTACTAATAGCCGGGGAACCAGGTATACCTTAGAAAGGAAGTCCCTGGTGCCCCGACATACCTCGGGTCATCTACAGACGAGTAGACGACCCCCCCCCCGTGTGGGAACCCCATGTTCCCTGTGCTCCCTGGAAGCGAGCGCGCTTCGCAACGCGCTCGCCGCCACCCCGGCCTGCTTCTGCTAGGGTGACAGATGGCCTCACCTGTCACCCCCAGGCCTGCGCTTATGGAGGACGGAGGTCGTTCTGCGACCGGCCTGGCGGGCCGGGAGAGTTCTAAACCTCTCCCGGTCCCGCTCCGCCGTCTCCTTCGCGAGCATAACTTGCTCGCAGAAGGAGACGGCGGAGTTCCACGCACTCTCGCTCCGCACGATAGCCGCAATCAGGCTATCGAGCGAGAGAACTCCCACTCCGATGGCCGCCACGAGGTCTCGCCTCTGCTCAACCCACGCCGGGCACTCTGCCAGCGTGTGGAGAGCCGTGTCCACGGTAGATAAATTACACCTAGACACAGAACTAAAAAAACTAACTATTTTAAAAAACCTGTGACTAAACAACACACGACCTGCCACGCTGTAGCTGGATTACCGTCCAGGATCGCTGACCACTAGCTCGATAGATCTAAATATGTGCATAAAAACTTGAGGCCTGCCAGTTTGATAGGTTACCCAAACCCCAAACCTCCCCTCCCCGTTGTGAGGGGACGACTCAAAGGGCGGCAACGTATTTGTGACTTGCAGGTATTCATGTACAGCGGTAGCTATTCTCTATCATCATCACCCGTTTGCTCATTTGCCTCCTTTACCATAAAAAAATAGTTTTAGTCTTGTATCTATATGTTTTTTTTTTGTAGAGTTTTGAATTCATATTTGTTTAAAGGTTAAACGGTTTCACTCATAGGTACTTTTGATGCCTGACTAGTTTACGTGACTTTCTGCATCGGTGAGTGCACTGCCTTACACCAACGCGGAAATTCATCCCTTGATAAAGGTCGGTGGTCTAAAACAAGTTGGGCCTTCCCGAAATACACACGTGGCTCAACCATTTATCTTTTACCATTTAAGAAAGCTTTTATATTAACATTTGTTTAATAAAAATATGACCTTACCTATCCAAGAGTTAGTGGTATCGCTGGAAATTATATTCGAGCCTGGCTGACTGAGCTGTGGCAGCAAAACTGCAGGGTAACCCGTGATGCTCCCATGTCCAATCAAATTAATTCCTACTGCCGATGTCACGAAACACTGAAATTGTCATGAATTAAGGTTATTATGGGTCTTACTCCTTATGGCAGAGAATTCTTAGATTGAGTGTGAAACAATAATAGCCGGAGGACACTAGCCAGAGCTTGATGTTGAAAAGTTAACTTCCCGTTAATTTATTTAAATCAGGGATGCACAGACTTATTAAGACTAGGGCCACTCGGGCAAATTATGTACTAATGGCGGGCCGCCAGAGGTATAGGTAATTAAAGACAATAAAGAATTGATAAATATGTATTAAAATTGAAAAAGAATTTATTAATTTGAAGCGTGGCACTGCATAGTGCTTACAATCTTTTTTATATTTGGCTCAAATTTACTTGTAGCAACACGTAAAACTGCTTCCAAACTTTTATTTGCAAGGCGGTTTCGATTTTTTGTTTTATTATTATTTAGTATTGAAAAGGTTTATTCACATATATTGGTAGAACCAAATAAGCTGGCACATTTCAGAGCGTTTATGCGCAACTCTTTGTACGTATTTTTATCAATGCAGCGGTAAAAGTTCAGCAAGTCTCCTTCGTTGAATTTGTTGCGTAAATCTTGGTCGTTTTGAATGTCGATAATTTCTAACTGCATTATTTTCAACTGAAATCGTGAAAGGATTGCTGAATATGTCCAACAGAGGTTTCACTTTTTTAAACTCCGAAAATCTGTCTTGAAAAGATTGAATCAAAATATCTAGCTTTTCTACATAACTGAAATTAATCGCAGTTTTGTTGAATTTTTTAGCCATTTTCTTATAATTCGGAAAATGATTGTAATTTCCAGAATTCAATTGCGATCTGAAAAGTGTCAGCTTGCATTGAAAGGATGATACATGAGCGTAGAGCTGGGATATCAGTTGATTTTTGCCTTGAAGCCGTGTGTTCAAGACATTCAAATGATTTGTAATGTCAACTAAAAAAGCCAAATCACACAACCAATCAGGATTTATAAGTTCCGAGAAATCCCTTTGCTTTTCCGCCAGAAATATTCCAATTTCTTCTATTAAATTTAGAAATCGTTCCAGTATCAATCCACGACTTAGCCACCTTACTTCTGTATAATACAGTAAATCTCCATATTCGCTTTCGATGTCATCAAGGAATTGTTTGAATTGCCTGTGACTGAGTCCTCGTGATTTTAGGAAATTTACAGTCGAAACTACCACTTTCATGACATTTTGAATTTTTTTTAGAACAGAGGGTTTCTTGGTGTATAATACAGTGTAACTGCATGAGATCTTCGGCGTTTATGTTTTTTTCTTGCAGATGCTTTTTCAGCAAAGTAACTAGTCCAGAATTGACACATATCATCGAAGAAGCACCGTCAGTCGCAACGCCCGATAATTTTGATAAGTCCTGCCCTTTCTTCTCATAAGGCTCAATCCCTTGGAAACGGGCGGTTGTAGATCGGCACAGGCATATCATAGATTTTGTATGGGTTTGATTTTTGTTAAATTTATTTGGTTACTATTTGACAAAACAGAGATTGTTGGTTTTGTGTGTGTTGATCTATGACTTTAGAGTCTACATGGAAGACGATTTCAAACAATTTTGGAATTTTTTTAAAATAAAGAAAGTTTGAGTTTGAGTTTGAATTAGTTTTTGAACACTCATCCAAAAGTACAGTGAGTATATCAACTCCTCTGGTTTGACCTTTCAATGAACACATTCGTAATAACTCTTCTAAGACTTCAAAATCTTGAGTAACACCTCGTATGAATATGAGAAGTTGAGCTGTGGAACTAATATCAGTGGATTCGTCGCGTGGTAATGAAAAAATTCAATGATCTTAGTTTTTTCATTTAATTGTTCCGCAATATTACCTGACAAAGACATAATTCGTCTTTGGATAGTTATACGATTCAGTTGAATTTTCTGAAACTTTTTTGCTGCTTCTGGGCACATTTTCTTAGCGGCAATTTCTATGCATTCTTTTACAAAATCCCCATCATTGAAGGGGCGACTTCGCTTTGCTATCATTCAAGAAATTTCATAACTAACTTAAAGACAACATTTTTTGCTTTCTTAATTCGCCTGTAAACTTGGTAAAAGTAGGATGCTGCGTTTCATAGTGCCTTTTTACATTATATTCCTTTGCAATCGCAACAGAATTCTTGCAAATTAAACAAACGACTTTGTTATGCGACCATACAAAAAAGTATTTCTCAGTCCAAATTTCTTGAAACTGCCGATTTTCATCTTTAACCTTACGTTTTTTACTAGGTCCTGGCTTGTCCATGTTGCGTTCTAATCCTGGCTAGGATTAACACAGCACCTAAAAAGAATTACAGTACCTACTTAAATTACCCATCCTTTTTTAAATTACCAAAAATAATTGATTAAATAAGTAGGGAAACACTTATTAATAACAGAGTTTTACTTACGTTGAATGTAATTATTAGTATATTAGTATTATAAGTATTCGACCGGCGGGCCGCGGTCTGTGCATCTCTGATTTAAATACTTCGCCTTAGGCTTTTAGACGATGTTTAAGTCAGTTAAACTTAATGTGGATATCACTACAGTACTCATGATTTGGTTTTTTGCTTCAAAATTTCTCTCCTACTTTCATTGAATTTACATTACACATACGAGGGGTGATCAATAAGTAATGATAATCAATATGAAACAGAACTATTAGATTAAAAAAAGTATTTTATTTTTCAACATAGTCTCCTTGCAAGTTAATACATTTAGTGTATCTTTTTTCTAAGCCCATGATTCCCTTAGAAAAAAATTCTTTGTCTTGACCCTCCCAAAATGCCTCTACTGCGGCCATCACTTCACTATTGTCCTCAAATTTGTTGCCCCGGAGGTGTTCTTTGAGCCGAGGAAAGAGGTAGAAGTCACTGGGAGCTAGATCTGGCGAATAGGGAGGGTGTTCGAGCAGTTCGAACCCCGTTTCTTCAATGGCAGCCATCGCAACTGCGGCTTTGTGAGCCGGGGCGTTGTCTTGGTGAAACAGCACTCCAGCGCGCAGTTTACCGCGTCTTTTTGACTTAATAGCTTCTCGCAATCTTCTTATTTGGCCTGCGTAGTAAGAGCCTGTTATAGTGGCCCCCTTTTCCAAATATTCCACCATAATAATTCCTTCTGCATCCCAGAAAACAGACGCCATAACCTTTCCCGCTGAACTTGACACTTTGAATTTCTTCGGCGTTGGTGAGGAAGCTCGTTTCCAAGTCATTGATTGTTGTTTGGTTTCGGGATCAAAGTGGTGGATCCAGGTCTCGTCCATGGTCACAAAACGCGACAAAAAAAATTCTTTATCGGCCTGGAACTTTTGAAGATTCACCCTCGAAATGTCGACTCATTTCTTTTTTTGCTCGTCGGTTAACATTCTCGGTACCCAACGCGCAGAGACCTTTTTCATATGCACTTTGTTGACAATGATTTTTTGAACGCTGCCATAGGAGATCCCTGTGACCTCAGCTACATGCCTTACGGTCACCCTTCGATCGGCCAACACGATATCTTCCACTTTTTTGACGTTTTCTCCAGTAAGGGACGTGGAAGGGCGTCCCTCGCGATGTTCATCTTCAGTGGAGGTTCTGCCCAGCTTAAATTCCTTTGCCCAGCGTGCGACTGTGGAATATGGAGGAGCAAACTCCCCCAATGTTTCCTCTAAGTCGCTGTGTATGTCTTTGGTAGACATTTTTTTCAGGCAGAGGTACTTGATGACAGCTCTTATTTCATTTTTCTCCATTTTGATGTTTTCTCTTCGACAGTTCGTATTCAAATGAATGTATCTCCCGGTAATGGTGTCCTATTTATACATTTTTTTGAAGCTGAAGTAGTGGATATATAAGCAAGCAGAAAAAAAATAATTTGGCTTTTTGTGCGTTCTAGAAATACTCGATTATCATTACTTATTGATTACCCCTCGTATAAACAGCAAAGCTATTGCGTCATAAATCATCATCATCCTTTTTTGGCCGTTTCCCGATGTTAATCTATTTACTGGTCCTTCGATCGGCTACATTCTCTATCGTATATTTGATGAGGAGTGCTCTGAGTAATTGATCGGACTAATACCTTCCGCAAGTTGCCACCATCGTTTCCCATGGCAAGACACTTTTTACCTCGCACAATCAATCTGTGGAACAAGTTGTCGTCTGCGGTATTTCCAGACCTATACGATCTTCAAGATAATAGCGTACTTTTTCCTAAAGGACCAGCATTGCGCTTTGTCACTCCTGAGCTGCAGGCGATCATGGGCGGCGGTAGTCACTTTCCATCAGGTGTCCTTTCTGCTCGTTTGCCTCCTCTTCCATAAAAATTTTTAAAGATAATATGTAATGCGGTATGATTTAAACTACAAGTTTGGAGTGAAAATCAAAGGAACATTATAAAAAACACCAATTCGTTCATATCAGCCCCTGAGGACACTCGGCTATCTCGGATAAACGTTTCTATAGCTGCACAAGCTATGAATAATGTGTTATACAGTTAAAATAGACTGATTGCAATCATTTTAACTATCATTTTGACTTAAATTAGAATTGACATAGTTTTCCTATGTAATCCTTACGTTTTATAGTTTCTTTAAGGATCCTATATTTGGAGTTATTGAGCAACTAAACAATGCTTAACTAGCCTTGTTTTTTATATAAAATGCTCTTAATTCAACTATTTTCATTTATATTCAACTGCGTGTACCATGGACGTGCTCTCCTCACTCTCACGTATAGTGTCCTATAGCGCGATCTCACTCACACCTCTTCGTTAGAACAAAACCCATACTAGGTATTCTTCTTCTAGCTTTGAAAATGACAAACCCCTTAGGGATGAAATTTCCTAAATTCCTTTCCTAGTGGGTGCTGATCACATAAAAAGCATCAGATCCTAAAATGTCAAGTTAGTAGCCTCAGCAATTTAGGCTCTACGTTGATGAATCCCTCAGTCAGGGCTAGTAATTTTAGATTCATAGGGATTATTAGGGAAAACACTAACTACTTGTAAATATATCAGTTCTTAACCGTTGAAGTAGTTGTAAATGTATCAAAAATCAAAGTAGATATGTAAATATTGGTGACCTTCGTGTGACGAATTACTTGATAATTTACTCGCCTGATTAGAATGTATTTATCACTCCACAGTTTCTACATTAAACACTGTTGTAAAGGTCATCGACTATGTTTTATAGATGATTCAGTGTGAGTAAAAAAAATCGAACTAATCTTTGTTCTTTAAGTTCTCCTTTTTAATTCTTATCAATTAACATACATATATTGACAAAATTTACATACCTGTTTCAAAAATGGGGTAACTCTGCCTTTTCTATCTGTCATGTTTTGGATGAATTTTTACATACATTCAGGTTTGTACCTTCAAATGTATAATTTATATATTTACGTTGTCTTCTACAAAAGGTTATAATGATATCACAGCACAAACGTGTCACCAATTAATATATATTACACTATATCTCGTAATTCAATCACAAATATTTAACACAAAGACTGGCACATTTGAAAACGATTCTTTTTTAATTAAACTTTGTGTAAAATTAACTCGCTGTTTATGTTTGTGCGTCAGAACTGTGTGTGTCAGGAAGCGTGCGTTGCTCGTCACTGTCATCTGTGCGTAGATAAGAGGCATTCGTGTCTTCATCAATATTTAAGAAAAATATCATCTATTTTCTAGTATAATTCCTAACACAAACAACACAACAGATTTCATTAGCAGTAGGTGTTTCAAAATAGATTTGGCTGTAAAGTTATCACAGTAACTTTATATTTACCACACGTTCGCGTGGAATTTGAAAAACGCTGCCGTAGTGGGTTCGATTAACGGGCAGGGCAAAATTTTTAGGGTTTTTCTGAGAGGAAAATAGCCTAAGTCACTCCTTATATAGACAACTATCTTGTAGTAAAATATAATCAAAATCAAATTTAGGCATAGGTATAGTGCAAATAAAGGTGTGAGTATGAAAAATACCTATTATTTTGACATTACAAACAGACACTTCAATTTTATTTATTTGTATAGATGTGTAGATTTTTTTGTGTGTCACACCAACAGCCGTTAATGGTCCACTGCTGGACATAAGACTCCTTAGAAAGGAGGTTTTGGCCTTTTATGTGTTGATGTGATGATAGTTAGTTGGAAAGGAACTTACACAATTAAGATCATTTCAATTAAAGATACATTCCGGTGGGTGTCGTAAGAGCCGACTAAGGGCGCAAAACTATGCAGGACACCAGCACTGCAAAAAGAAGGGAAACTTGACACAAACCCTATACCAACCCGCCTGGGTAGCTTGGTATAGTAGCTCAAAACCGCCTTTCTAAGGAGAGGCCTATGTCCAGCAGTGGACTGATAATGTGATGATGATGAAAAAAACATTTAAGACTTTTATAAATATTTACACATCTAAATTTGATTGATATTTTTTTTATAATACTAGTACTTTTCTGAAATTTGTTTTTAACTTGTGTTGTTAATTATAATTATGCACCATACTGAAATTATCATATATAGCTAGTAGAATTATTTTCGCCTTTTTTTAAATGTATTATATTACATTATAAAGGATTTTACATCATTCATATTGATTAATCACAAAGAAAAAGTTATATCTTTTATTGCAATTAATGTTAATTTAATTTTAATTATTTTGTCATAACGTTATGTGTACTTCTACTTGATATCAAAATAAAATATCTTCTATTGTTTACCGTTGTGTTTGTTTTGTGTGTTTGTGTCTCTTTATCTATTATATTTTTACCTTTATTTCTTCCTTAAATTATTGTTTATTCTTAATATCAGTCTTTATAGGTGTTTTTTATAACCAGTTGGTGCATATACTCATTTATATATTTATATGCATATTGGCCTGAACCAACAGGCCAGACAAAGAACAAATGTTGTTCTCATCACACAATATTTATCTTGTATTATTATTTTGTAAATATTGTGTGGTGAGAACAACATCTGTTCTGTGTCTGAATGTTGTTTATCGATAGTCTGGTTAATATATTAGAGGCTGAGCCTAAGCTCAGATCAGACTGCCATGTATGTGATGTGTCAGGTTATTAAAATAATCAACATGGTTCCAAAATATCACAATGCATATCCCAGTGAACACATTACATCAATTTACGTAAATGTGATATAAAAATGACATAAAATTTGTGTTTTATGTCACATTGATATCACATTTACGTAAATTTACGTCATGTGTTCACTGGGTATTTGTAGAAGAACGTATAATGCATGAAATAGAGTTTGTATTAGCCTTTGGAATAAAAAGTAGCCAATATATTTCCTCAAAAATCAAACTATCTCGATACCAAATTTAATCTAAATCGGTTCAGCGGTAGAGATAACCGGTAAGAGGTCCTAAATAGGTACTAAACAAAAGAATTAGGTTGAACCAACCCTTTTGTTTCTTTTAAAATACAACTCCGAAACGGACACAAAGAACACCCAGAGTCAGGACAACAATTTATGGATCACACAAAGTGATGTCCCATGTGGGGATCGAACCCACAACACTTAGCGCAGTAAGACACGGCGAGGCGACATCTTAAACTACTACGTTATCAGTCGAGGGTCAGAATCCACTTTAGAGGAATATCGGAGATTATGTATGTTCCGTGCAAACCGATTTTACCTACTACCTACCTAGTAAAGTAAGGAGTGTAGAATAGGCATGGGATATAATCAAAGTGAACTGTGATTAGTCATTCGATTTTTGCGTACGTTGGTTAGGGTTGCAGGTTACACGCTATTTAACAGTAAATCTAGTACTTTTTAAATTATTATATGCAGGGAATGGTTGCTATTTATAATAAAACAATTACTAGATTTATGGTTAAATAGGTGAAATTTAGGAAAATCTATACAGCGAATCCCCGAAAACGAGGTGTCCGCGTACAGGTGACGCCGTTGCCGAATTTTAGAGACCAAAACGATCAAGATATGTCAATAAACAAAAAAGATATGTAATTTATTCTTAAGTAAACAAACGAAAAATTTTCTAAATCAATATATAGGCGTCAATATATAGGTTATGTCAAATTCTTATCTTGGTATTTATATGTCATGCGGAGCGATGAGGTAAATGTGGCGAAGAAAGTTTTAGGTATGAGAGTTGAAGCGTACAAGAGAAGAGGCAGACCGAAGAAGAGGTGGATGGACTGCGTCAGGGAGGATATGGCTAGGAAGGGAGTAAATAGTGAGATGACGCATGACAGAGTAGAATGGAAAAATCATACATACTGCGCCGACCCCAAATAAAATTGGGAAAAGGGTAGGCAGATGATGAGGTGAAATAGGGTCTTTGTGCATCGTCTGATAACAGCTTCTTGGCAATAACGCGTGAGTAAGTAGTAACCCTAACCTACGCACGAAAAAATCGAATGATAAATCACCGGTCATTCACAGTTCACTGTGATTTTGTCCCATGCTTAGTGTAGAATGTACAAGTTGTTCTTTAATTGGTCACTGAGAAAAAAAGTACACAATATTGAAATGTCAATGTAACGACAGAAAACGCCTGGAACAGTTTAATAAATATTAAATGTTACCTGGACAAGTTAATTATAACGTCACGACTGAAGTGGTATACTTCTTATATCAGTTACAACATTAAAAATCCATAAACTATTTATCTATTTACAAAACATATTTTTATAATTCTTATCAGCTAATGGCTTTTTCAACATTTTCTTTATTCAATGACTGGCTGACTTCTATATCTTCAGCTCTCAAAGGTTTCCCTCTGAAATGTTCTTCAATCTCTTGTAACGTCCTATCCTTAGTTTCAGGCAGTAGAGCCCAGATCACAAACAGATTATACGACATGGCTGCCGCATAAACTGTGTAAGCTCCGTGCAGTCCAATAGCTCCCTCCAAAGATGGAAAAGTTTTGGTTACTAAAAAGTACCCACAGGCTATCGAAACTATGCTGATGCTGCCTCCCAGACTCCTGTACTCGAGAGGAAATATTTCTCCTGCTATAACGTAGGGAAGACACACCATGCCCACAGCTACCGTGAAAAACTGAACGTTGATGAGGAGGATTGGTATCCACGATGCAGTGTAAGTCAACATACCAGTATTTTTGGCGTACACATAACCTGCTATGGCAATGCTGCTTAGGATACAAAGACTACCCGTAGACAACATCATAGTTCGTCTTTTCACCTTTTTCACTACGTAAACTGCTATAATATTCGATATATTTCTCTGTACGTCCAGAGCCACCATCCAGAAATGGGCATCTACTTCTGGTCCGGCCATCAGAGTGATTACCGTCGTAGAATAGCACGACATTAAAGCACCTCCAGAAAATTCTCCCATCAAGTAACTATGCACCATGATCACTATAGGTTTATAAAATTCCTTCTTCTTCATCAAAGTAACGACATCTCTACAATTAGCTATATTAGTTTTGTCTGATTTGAATGCTCTTGCATTTATCATTGCTTCTAATTCTGCCTCTTCCTCATCACCCCTGAGCCATCGGAAAACTTGTCTGCATTGTTCATATCTGCCTTTGTCAGCGTACCAACTTGGAGTTTCCGGAGTATAGAAAGTCATGAGTAGACTTGCTAGAGGAAATGAGACAAGAATGAGGATTGTTTTCTGCCAGCTGACGCAGGATCCTATGAGGTGGACCAATAAGATCCCAAAGGCTTGTGTAACAGATATTGTGGTGAGGAACGCTCCCCTATTCTTTGGGCTGGTGTACTCCCCTATCAGGACTGAGCGGAGAGGAAGCATTAAGCCAAATGACATTCCGTGTATGATTCGGCCAATGATCATTACCTGGAAATGAAAGAAAATATTATTAGAATCGAAGAAGAGATTTTGTTCCTAATTTGAAAATTCATTTTTATATGAAATCAATTCTTGTAATATTCTTCATGTTATTAAAATAGATAAGTTGTATGGTTTTATATTATTTAAGGCAAAAAAGTAGATGGCTCCCATGATGGATGTTCTCCATCCAAACTGGTCCCGTGGATACTCTCAATTCAAATTGGTCCCATGGATACTCTCAACTCAAACTGGTCCCATGGATACTCTCAACTCAAACCGGTCCCATGGGTACTCTCAACTCAAACTGGTCCCATGGGTACTTTTAACTCAAATTGGTCCCATGGATACTCAACTCAAACTGGTGCTTGCTGGGATTGGGCACTTACGTACGCGTAAGGATGTTATATTTTGTGATACGCGTTTGTGGCTCCTGAGTTGCAGACGTTCATGGGCGGCGATAGTCACTTTTCATCAGGTGACCCGTCTGCTCGTCTGCCCCCTCTAACATGAAAAAAAACTAAGATGTCTTACGAGAACGCAGAGTGGCGGCCTCAGTTTTCACATTTGACAAAAAGAGACTTAGAAAGGGGACTAGTAGTAAAAAAAAACTAGCTGAAAATGTCTAAGAATTTATAATCGAACGGAAATTTAAATCTCAAGAGTTACAAAATAAATATTCACACACCTCTATACTCTTAGCCAGAATGATGACCAGCCACCCCACTAGAATGTGGAGAATTACCACGAAGTGTGCTATCTTCCTGCCCAAACGCCCCATGATAGGGGGAGCCATGAAACTCCCCAATAGAAGAGTGATCGCCATTACTGACGCTGAAAATAAACCAAAAATAATTAATGTAAATTTGAATATTAGTAATAAATTAAAACATAAATCCGTATTATCCCGTGTGTATATCTGTTATCGCCGTAAAAAGGAACCCGTGTCACTCGCTGATTATGTAACTTTCCATTGGTGAAAGATTTTTTTAAATCGTTTTAGTGGTTTAATAATGAATGCGCAACAAAAAAATAATCAAACTCACTTTCACATTTATTTTATAAATATGGATGTCGAAAACCTAAACCAACTCAAGAATATATCGCGTAAAACACACACAAAAAGTCAGTGGAATTGGGAACCATTTTTTGAAGTCAGTTAAAAAGAACAATTAGTTAAACTTTCCACTGCCACCTTCTTACTGTGTAACCGAAGCAAAATATTACAAATTCTAACCAAAAAAAAATTGTAATAAAAATCCTTTACTGTTACCGTAAAATTTTATTAGGTTCCTTTTTAAATGACCTAACATCTTTTCTTTTTAAAAAAGACAACTCCCGCATTAGGAATATATCCTGAGTCGCGGGGGACTTTACACACATGAAACGGACACAAAGAACACCCAGACTCAGAACAACAATTTGTGGATCACACAAAGTGTCGTCCCATGTGTGGTTTGAACCCTCAACACTCGGCGCCGTAGGAAGCGGCTTGGCGACCGCTTTAACCGCTACGCTATCCGTGCAGTAAACATATCTGATACAAGGGCGTCCAGTCCCAGATAGTTGTAAGATAGCCAGAGTATTATAAATTACTTGCTTATTAATCAAATACGTATATACTTATGAATACATCCATATCATTATAATAATTACATACAGATACAGAGGAAATGAGCGAGCTGATCACATATTTTTTTCTCTTGACTAGTCCAACAAGTCCGTCAAGTTGTACTTCGCAACAACACCTTACAACTTTAGATGAGCGACGCGTATGCAGAAGCAGTATTATATTTACAAACTAAACTACAAATAAGTAAATGATAACTTTTCTGGATATCAAATTCTATAAATACTACCAAAATCTAGCTTTTTCCTTTGTCCTATCTGTGAACGGTTACATTCTCAATTAGGGTTTGTGTAAGGCAAGCTAATCATAAAAGAACAATCGAAACGTTTAGCAATCTTACCCAATCCAACTCCAAATAGAGTATGGAGATCTCAAGATCAAATCAAAATTTAAAATCTAAAAAAATACAGTAAAAAGCATCCTCCACTTTTTGTAATCAACAATATTTCATACATTTCTTTCATGTTCAGTTCTGTTTGCGTGTTTTCTTTGTAGTTTATACTATAAGACAGTATTTATGTTAAAACTAGAATGTAATAATTAGCATTTTAAGATATTCGATACATTTGTCTAATACGACGACGTCTGGTTTTGATATCTAACCAGCTTTAAACGGAGTTTCACGACTTGTGACTTTCTAATGACAGCGAAATATTTATTCATGAAGTTTCTTTAGAATGCCTAAGAATCCTTAAGAATATGTAGCTGTTCAAAATATCGTCGGTTCCAAAAGCTGCTCAGTTGATTAGAAAGTTCATTGATTTAAATAATTAACATTCAATTCTTATACATTTCAAATATACAATTCGGACGGTTATCCTCTTTGTTCTAATTTACTCCAATGAAGTCGAAAATAATGTGTAAAATAAAGATATGTATGGTAAACTATTGTATATATATTATACTAGCGGACCCGGCGAACGTCGTACCGTCTTAGAATTACAAAATTAGGTGACAAATGGCGTGACATACTGACAGCACAATTGGACCTGGTAGGTAACACCCTACCGGGTCCAATAGTGTTTTTAAACCATCCAGGAACCCATTGAAATATACACCCAAAATTTCATCCAAATCGGTTAAGGTAAGGAGTTGTTAGGATACAAACACACGTACAGAAGAATTATATATATTAAGATATGCAGCACTTCATAATATATTTTTATTGATGAACATCATATTTTAATATATATTATCCTATTCCGGACGTAGACAAACCCAACAACACAAAAAATTTGGTCCAGCCGTACACGACTTTCTTTTATATATCAAAAGCCAATGACCTCGAACGGGTAACTGAGACACACCAAACGTCCATGTATATTAAAGACAAATGTTAGGTGGATATCTAAATTCGGAGTGGGAGTTCTCTCGCTCGATAGCCTGATTGCGGCTATCGTGCGGAGCGAGAGTGCGTGGAACTCTGCCGTCTCCTTCTGCGAGCAAGTTATGCTCGCGAAGGAGACGGTGGAGCGGGACCGGGAGAGGTTTAGAACTCTCCCGGCCCGCCAGGCCTGGGAACGGGCCAGGTACCGCAGGTGACTCAGGCGCCGGAGGTCACAGAACGACCTCTGTCCTCCATAAGCGCTCCACCCTAGCAGAAGCAGGCCGGGGTGGCGGCGAGCGCTTCCAGGGAGCAGAGGGAACATGGGGTACCCACACGGGTCGTCTACTCGTCTGTAGATGGCCCGAGGTATGTCGGGGCACCAGGGACTTCCTTTCTAGGGTATACCTGGTTCCCCGGCTATTAGTACCCGAGACGGCGTGCGGTTTTAGTCGGTTCGTGTCCGACATGCCACCGATAGGTGGTATCGAGGGGATTTCCGCACGGAAAAAAAAAGGTGGATATCTAAAAATAGTAAAAAAATATCAATTTCTATATTGAATTTTTTTTACTAATACGTAAAATAGTGATATCGCAGTCCCCGACGAACAAAATCGTAATAGGAAAATGACAATTTTACAGGAGCAAATAAAAACTGAATATCTTGAATACTATCAAGAGTAAAAAGAAGATTTTTTTATCAAAAATAGGGAATATTTTTTTGCACTAGATTTTTACTAAATTTTTATCATACATTTTCTTTATCAGTAAGAAAATTGTGAAAATGTCCATTACTGAAATAAGCTATGGAAAAAATTTACGCAAAATAACTTTACGATAGTGTTCGACTGTAATCACAAATCGGTGTTGCTGTAGTAATCGTTCATTATGATATTGTTCCATGGTAAATATGAATATACTTTCTATTCGTAAAATGACATTGTATTCGATGTCGACATCGTATTATTACAATCGTATTCGATGATATAACTGACTTTAATATTACGGTAAACATAAATTACATGCTTATTCGATGATAATTTTTAGGTGTTATGAAAGGTAAGCAGCAAAATTAACCATTTCGGTACCTATGTATAAATAAAGTTTTTTATGTGTATTACTTTAAATTTGACATTATTTATCTATTAATGTTTTGATGCATATTGTATTAATTTTACAGGGTTATTTGTGACACTGTAAATTGAACCTAAATATTGTCAGCTTATAATCTAACGAGTTTTCAATTGGTCAAGACATACAATCCTCACAAATATTATAAATGCGAAAGTAACTCTGTCTGTCTGTGTAGCTTTCACGCTAAAAGTACTGAACCGATTTATATTAAATTAGTACACAGATACCCTAGAGCCTGAGGAAGGACATATACCTACTACTTTTAAATGCAAAAAAGGGTTGTAAGGGGTCGAAATAGGGGTTGAAATGTTGTATGAAAGTATTGTCATTGCTTGGGATTCACTAAAATGGTACCCAAAGTCACTATTCCAAGTCGCGGACACACGCTAGTTGATTATAAATTTACTATTTAATGGTGATAAATTAAACGCAAAAATTATCAATTTTTTATTATTATAATATGAAACAAAAATTAAAACAAAAAAATTACTGAGTTTAATTTTTATCTATATCTTCTTGTTATTCTTCAGGTATAATATTGATATCTGCATAATTTAAATTACGATAAAAACTGTGATAACATAACACTTTCATAAAAAGACTTCAAGTCAGCAAACAGAGCCTTGGTGATAGGTAAAGGGTGGCTGTAAACATTTTTGAGTGTTTGTAAGTCAACCAGGCCAGGGACGGGTTTCGGTCCTCGTTTGGGTTTGTTTAGTTGAAGTTTTGTATCCAACTCGAATGAATCATTGTCGAAGTCATACTTATACTGTAAAATTGTTGGTTTCAAATGAGAAACTCTCACCTTCATCAATTTCCACTAATAAGATTCTGTCATTTTTCCCTCGAATAATATGGTAATACCCGCTTACTCTAAAATGTTGGCTTTTGAGATTTGGTAATAGGTTTTTGCGTTATTGATCGTGTAAATTTTCCACTTATGTTATACGTTGAACAAAAACATAAAGATCATTATTGAATGGATAAATCCAAAAGTATTCATCGCCCGATCATAAAAAAAACTCAATGATTGTAATAGGGTATGTAGATAACGAATATTTAATAAACCCGATTCTATCGTAATAGCGATTACCATAGTGTTCGTCGGGGACTGCGATATATGTCAAGCGACCGGCCACTGTCTAATATTAGCTATTATTATACACTCTACGTGATTAATCGGATGATTGGCACATCCAATCTGTAGAACAAGTTATCGTCTGCGGTATTACCTGCGGACCGAAACGACCTTCAAGAAAAAAACATACTCCTTCCTCAAAGGCCGGCAACTCGTCTGCTCGCTTGCCCGCTCTTCAATAAAAAAAACTATTTTCTGCGCAATAATTGCCTTCTTCGAAAAAGTGATCAATCATCATCATCATCATCAGCCTTTCGAAGTCTACTGCTGAACGAAGGCCGCAAAAGGCAATATGTGACATTAAAAAGCGTTTTGCCGTATTTTTTACGGCTGTCTGCTTTATCATCATTCATCATCAGGCTATCGCAGTCCACTGCGCAACATAGGCCTCTCCCATTGCACGTCACTTGGATCAGTTTTCGGCTTCTCGCATCCAGCTCCTGCCAGCCATTTGGCGCAAATCGTCACTCCACTTGGCCTATGGGCATCCTACACTACGTTTGCCGACGCTAATCTTCTTTGACAGACAATCGTTTTCATACAGAATAAAACAATCAGGTAAGCTGCAGCAGATGAAAGATTTCTGTCCTGGGATTAGCGTGGCTAATATATACATCAATTGACAGTGGTAACCCAAATTGAATAATAATTTTAAGTCCCGAAACGCATATATGTATAAACTTTGTGTCTGAGCTCACCTATCCAGGAACCAGCTTCTTCTGTAAGCGTGAGGTATGATCCTGGCTCCTTGAGCTGCGGCAGCAGGATAGCCGGGAACCCGACCACGGCGCCGTGGCCTATCGTCGTGAAGCATACTGTGGCTGACACGAAACACTGAAAAATATATAAAGTTTTTTTACTTCTTATAATCATCGTCATTTGACGAGCCTCTCGGTTTGGTGGTTAGTGACCCTGACTGCTAAGCCAGAAGTCGTGGGTTCAGTTCTCACCCAGGACAAATGAGTGTGTGATGAGCATGATTATTTGTTCTGTGTCTGGGTATAATTCATCTAAAATACGAGGAACGTATGTACAATGCTCTTGACTTGGTCTACTTCGAAAGATTACGCGACGAATGCAATAATCTTAGAATGACATGCTGCAAATCCTATTTACATAAAATAGAAAATGGGATAACTAATAACCCAAAACTGTTCTGGTCATACATTAAAAACAAAAGAAATGGTAGCAGTACATATCCATCTCAAATGTACAATGATGATAAGGTGGTGAAAAGTGGTGAGAATATCTGTAATATTTTTAAAGAACATTTTCAGCTAGCTTATAATAAACCACTTACTAACACTAGTTATACCCTTTATAATTCGGAAACTTCGTCAACACTTTGTCGTTTAACACTTGACAGCAATGAAATATATAGATGTCTTCATACACTAGATGAAGCAAAGGGGGCAGGCAGCGATGGTATCCCTCCTGTTTTATTAAACGTTGTACAAAAGGTTTAGTTAATCAACTTCAAATCATTTTCAATAGATCCTTACAGGAAAACACCTTTCCTTCTAAGTGGAAGGAAGCTCTTGTTGTGCCCATTTTTAAATCAGGAGTGAGGCATCTAGTTTCAAATTATAGACCAATATCATTGCTGGCTACATTTGGCAAAGTATTCGAAAAACTTATCAGTCAACATCTGATATGGTATCTGAAAAGACACTTAACAGAACACCAGCACGGTTTCGTAAAGTCAAGATCTACCAGTACGAACTGATTATGATTTACCTCTGCTGTATCCGAATGCCTTGACAAACGAATACCAGTAGACGCAATTTATACAGATTTTAGTAAGGCATTCGATAAAGTAGATCACAGCCTTCTTAAGATGAAACTGGCTCGACTTGGTATTGATGGATCATTAATCGGTTGGATAGAATCTTACTTAGAAAATAGGACTTGCAAGGTTATGGTAAACGGTTATTTCTCTGAAAACTGTACGATGACCTCCGGCATACCGCAAGGATCGCATCTCGATATTCCGATATTCTTCGATGTTTTTATTAACGACATAGTAAGTTGCTTTGAATACTCACGTTACTTTATATTTGCCGATGACTTAAAGATTATGATGCCATTGCAACATGATAAGGATGCGAAAATGCCACAAAGTGATATAGATAGGCTGACAGAGTGGTGCAAACAAAACTATATGCTATTAAATATTAATAAATGTTATTTCATCCAGTTCACCCGCAAAAAATGCACACATGCCAACTCATATAACATAGAGAGAGTTCAAATTAAAAAAGTTGACGTTATTCGCGACCTAGGTGTTCAATTAGACAGCGCACTTAAGTTTGACGTGCACATATTAAATACTGTAGCACGGGGATTTAAGATATTCGGCTTTGTTACACGAAACTGTAAAGATTTCAAAATACCCAGCACATAAATTAAACTTTTCAATTCTTTAGTCCACCCGATTATAGAATATGATTCAGTCATATTTGACTGCACGGATGGCGTAGTGGTTTAAGCGGTCGCCACGCCGCTTCCTACTGAGCCGAGTGTTGTGGGTTCAAACCCCACATGGGACGACACTTTGTGTGATCCACAAATTGTTGTTCTGAGTCTGGGTGTTCTTAGTGTCCGTTTCATGTATGTTTGTAAAGTCCCCCGCGACACAGGATATATTCCCAATGCGGGAGTTGTCTTAAAAAAAAAAATGAAAGCCTATGAAGTGTACGTCAAGCGATTGGAGAGTATCCAAAAGCGATTCCTGTACCATCTTTGCTACAGAGATAACTTAGCAAAAGAACTCACTAGCTACACCGAAAGGTTGGAACATTATAATATGAAGACATTAGCAAGTCGAAGAGATAAATTAAACTTGATATATTATATATATGAATTGTAGATTATGGTAGTATTTTGAGTAGCTTACGTATTAGGGTACCCAACCATATTCCAAGAAAAAATGTATATAGCTTTTTTGACATTGCAACCTCTAAAACAAATCTTGGTCATTACGCCGCTGTGCCAAGGCTCTGTAAGCAATACAATACTCTGTCAAATACTCATAATATGGACATCTGCGAGTCTTTCTTGGAATTTAAAAGGCGTTTGGGAAAATTGTTGTTTATTGTTTGTGTTTTATTTTTTCTCCTAATTTTAATTTTATTTTTAATCTTAATTTTATTGCACTTTCAATTGGTTGTAAATACTAAGCACTTTTCTTTTTTAGGCTCTATTGTATCTACCTCAGCCTATGCTTGTCCACAGCTGGACATAGGCCTCTCCCAATGATTTCCAGCGGGGACGGTTGATTGCGGCCTGCATCCAACGGTTTCCGGCAACCTTTACCAGGTCGTCCGTCCATCGGGTAGGCGGTCGTCTCACACTGCGCTTTCCAGTACGTAGTCTCCATTGGAGAACCTTGCTGCCCCATCGGCCGTCAGTTCTCCTTGCTATGTGCCCTGCCCATTGCCACTTGAGCGCGCTAATCCGTTGGGCTATGTCGACCACCTTTGTTCTCCTGCGGATCTCCTCGTTGCGGATTCGATCACGCAGGGAAACTCCAAGCATAGCCCTTTCCATAGCACGCTGAGCGACTCTGAGCTTTCTGATTAGGCCCATAGTAAGAGACCACGTCTCAGTTCCGTAGGTCATCACTGGTAACACACACTGGTCGAAGCATTTCGTCTTTAGGCACTGAGGTATTTTGGACGTGAAGACGACGTTCTATTGTATTATAAAATTATTATTTACTTAGTTGAAAATACGCATGCTGTGGTCTCCTGTAATTGAAGGAGTACACATACCAATACCCGTGTGAAATGTATTTTTGATATTGTGTGTACATCCTTTGTTGGTGATCCTTAAATAAATAATAAAAAAACGTATTTAGAAATATATAAGCATTTTTATCAGAAGTCTCGTTAGGCTGTGACTAGTTTGGAATCAGACGGCCACGTGTGAGATCTGTGTGGTTATAATTATATGTCTGTCCTTTTTTCATTGTTATTTACGCTTTAGCTACTTTTTAACGGTGACTGGCGTCAGCGCCTGCCACTTTAAGACGGTAATTGTTTTGCAGACAAGAGAAAGGAAGAAAGTAAATTACATATAAGCATACACTCTCTCTTTATCTCTTAAGAGGTAAACAGGGGTAAACATATTAAACTCCAATCTAGGTAAATTGGGGTATTCCTGCCGATCCTAAATATGGACGTTGATTGTAAGGAACCAAAGATATTGATTTTAATTAGTTTCGATAAAATTAATTAACTAGAACATGATTAAGCACTTTCACATTTAAACAAAGGCTAAACATAGAGTTGTATCATAAAAAAACTGCATGGTAATGATCGCCTAATTACTTTTTGTTTTACAACACGTGGGTGTATTACTCCACTCTACTTCTATAAGCCGAGGCAGTAATAGACGCATGACAATGCAAAAATATTTAGTATCACAAGCCGTTAACCGTGGGAGAGATATGATTCGACACATATGGACCAGGCTCGACCGCAGTGATAATAGCCGTATTATCACTGCGGTCGAGCCTTCTGTGATGCCGATCACAGAAGACCGGTGTTGAGCAATAAGAAAAACAAACTATTTAAAATTTATGCCGCAAAAAGTATTAAACTCTAGTAGGAAAATATTTAGGTAAGCTTAATTACGCAGACACAGAAAACATCTTAGCAATTTTAAAATGATATAATTTTAAGCATAATTAGGTTATTAAACAATAAGTAATATATATTTGTGTATACAGTGAAGTAATTAACATTATTAATCTATTAGAACTTTAACATATGAACGTCCTGTAACTAACATAGCCAAGCGACTGTCTGAAACACAGGTCCCACACCTAGCTCAGGCCGTTTGCAAAACAATTTGTAATATTTTGATTTTACCTTTTTTTATATTCACTCTTGCACGTTTTAGAATAATCACTAGTTTTATGTTAGCTTTAGTAACAAACTTTTTATAAAAATGTAATGATAATAAGATGTAAATCATACACCAAATGTAACCAAAACCTTATTCTGATTCTGAAATATATAAAAAAAAAAACCGAGTGAGTGAGGTTGCCGAAAGCTTAAAAGATTAATTGCGATTAATTATTAAGTAAAATAAAATAGAAGGCAAATAGTTTATTAAGATTCTCTTATTAAGAACAGTTACATTCATCATTATCATCATCAACAGCTGCCTTTATTAATCCACTGCTGGACATAGGCCTCTCCTTAGAAAGGAGGTTTTGGCCTACTATAATACGCTGGCCAGATTCAATTCAATTCAATTCTTGAGATCAGATGGGTTGGTATACGGATTTTCCAAGTTTTCCTTCTCTTTGCAGTGCTGTTGTCCAGCGTAGTTTACTCCCTAAGCCAGCTCTTACGACACCCACGGGATGAATAGGGGTGGTGACACTCCGTATTTTTATTACGTCTATGCACGAACATAGTTAAGTTACTTTGTATTTTCTATAAATTATAGATATCGAACACTTCATCATGAAAATTGTGCTTCTGTAATACCGGCAGACTCTTTTAAATTGGTACCCATTGCTCAATTCTCACAAAACTACACTGACACTCTCTCTTTGTAATTGACTTTTATAGGAGTTTAACAGCATTATTATACCTTCATCTGTTTGTACTGGATAGTTCCTATATCCAGTAAGTATATATGTATTTAGTGACCACACTCCTGTGTGGAGAAGCCCAGTTGAAAACTGCTTCAATATAATGGTAATTTCTTTTACATTCCTTACCTGAACTAACAATAGGACGTAGTTGTTTAGAACATACTATTTGTTACCCAGTTCTCACGCAGACTGGTAGGTAATTAATATCATTAATCATTATAAA